GGTCACATATATATATATATATATATACATATAATATACTGTATATATATAATGACCATTGTCAATGACACACATGCTAATTATAAGAGAAGTGCTTTATGTAAACTTTTCTCATGACTACAGAAGAAGAAACCTGGAATAATGTGTGTGTGCTATACCTCTAGCCTCAGCCTCTGAGAGACCATGCCAATGTCTGCAGTGATGAACACCACTCTTTTACTGCCATCGTCCACGATGAAGGCTCGGCTGAACAGACGTGTATGGATCCCTCTCACCGTCTGCTCAGTATTAGCGTAACCCATCTTTTCCACAAACAAAAAAACAAAATCACCATTCACAAGAATCTTAACTTAGTCTTTGACATTGATATCTGTCCTTTATCATCACATCTGATCAGTGCACAGTCATAAATATTGTCAGTCGCTAACAACTGATGACTATCAACTTCCAGCTATAAGGTCTCACCAATAATCAAACAGAACAGCTGGAAATAGTCAGAGTAAAATCAAATGATCAAAATCTAAGAAATCAACTGAACAGAAAGAGATTGAGAGAAATGAAACTGACCATGGGCAGATCGGCCACAGGCCCGGTACAGTCAGCTCGACCCACACCAATCAGATAAGGGTTCTCTGGAGGATCCACTGATGGGCTCGGCTCCTCTGGAGTCACTTCCTCTGGTGCACAAATAATTCAAACCAGACACCATATGATTCTTCAATAAGCTTATGAATGGAAAAAATTACATTGAGATTCAAAAGTCGGAGTTTCAAAGTAAATCCTACATCAAATATTTTCTGCACTCCCCCCTAAAACAAAAAATATTAAATATATGAATATAAAATCATATCTTTTTCCTAGGTCTTACAATGTGTAACTACAAAAAAATATTGCTTAAGACAAATGCATTTTAGTTTTTATAAGCTGTAATTTTCTTGTAATTAAACCATGTGAACAGTTCAGAATTACGTTTTTCTGAATCCAGTTTGAGGGCCAGGACTGTTATTAACCCCACTGAGACCGCTGTCATCAAAAGGAAGAGAACTATGAGGGAGATCTCCAGACCATTGAGCCGACAGCACTCAGTCTTACGCGCCATCACCCTTCACTGAGACACACACACACACACACACACACACACACACACAGAGCACATGCTTGTCATACAAATTATAAACACATGTAACACACTAAACAACTGTGTCTGAAGTTTGAAGCATGAATCCATATTTCTATGTTGCTAAACTTAATAACACTACACTTCAAATGTTTGGGGTTGATATATTTTTATTCGAATATTTTATCATTTAAAATAAGTTTGATCTATTTTAATATATTTTTAAATGCAAGGTATTCCTGTGATGGAACAGCTGAATTTTCAGCAGCCATTCTTCCAGTCTTCAGGGTTCCGAAATCATTCAAATATGCTGATTTGCTGCTAAAGTAGCATTCCTTCTTGTTATCAATATCAAAAACAGTTGTGCTGCTTCATATTTTTAGGGAAACATTCATACTTGTTTTCAGGATTTTTTTTTTTTTTTAAATACAAAGCTCAAAAGATCAGCATTTATTTGAAATACGTTTATTTTTAAATAAAGCCATTACAGCCAATTTTGATCAATTTCACACACTATTGCTAAATAAAAATATTAATTTGGACTTGTATGATTTTGACTTATGATGCTCATAAGCTTACATACCCCTTGCAGAATATGCAACAACACACCGTATTAACATTCAAGAGTATGTAAACTTTTGAACTGGTTTATTTGTGTAAATTCAGTTATTGTTGTTGTTGTTTTTTTACTTTATGTAAACATCTTTATGTGAAACTGCTTATTCACTACAGCACTAAATAAAAATTAACATGCAATTTGTATGATCTCTCTTATTCTGTTTAAATGATCTTATTCTGCAAAGGAAAACATAATATCAAACAGGCGAAACATTTTCCTGATCTATATAATAAGTGGGAAAAGTACTTACATGTTTTACTCTGCTCTCAAATTCACTGAACGGTGTAGATTTTGAAAAGCAAATCAAGTGTAGAACAAGTGCACACTTATAGTGTATACAGCACAAGGACAAAGGTAATATTCTCTGCACTGTTTATAGCTATATTTCATGTTGACAGTGTGAAACCAAACTCTCAGATTAGATTAGATTAGTTGCATAACATTTGAGATACCGCAGACCATATCAAGACATTAATTTTAACCACAGAGAGAATTTTCAGTTAATAATAAATGTAACAAAATAAATGCAGATGTTGAGTAAATTTATTAAAAAAAAAAAAAAAAAAATTCATACATGTATGCAGTAGAAAAAGATGCATAATGCTTAGATTTCTTCCAAGCTATGAAATACTTAAATCTAGAAGGTTCAAAGTGGGATGCAGCAAATAAAACAAATAAAATGTATTATTGCTGTGGGTAAAATGGTTATGACTAAATATCTATAATAGTCCTTTCTTGTCCTGTGTTAAGCTATGCTTTCCATCATGTGTATACTCCCTAAAAATGTAACTAATTACATTACGCATTTACTTTTTTTTTTTTTTTTTACTTTCTTTTCTGGCATTGGGGCTGCTTGTTTTTAATATATATATATATATATATATAAAAAAAAGAAAAAAGTTATATTTTTGGCAAATGTAAAAGCCCTTTCACACCAAAATTGGTGAAATGAATAAGCCTCAGGCTGAAGGAAATTTAAAAAAAAACTAAATACTGAAGTTACTGGAATACTGACGTTGAGATGAGTACAGATGAGTAAATGCATGTTCACATTTAATCTAAAACTACAGTAACATCATGATCACACAGGGCACACAACATCTCTGCACTTAATAAATGGGAGAAAAAAGTGACTGGCATTACTTATTTGAAAAAGAACTCAGATATTTTCTTGTAAATTAAGTAGTGTTACTTTACTAGTTACTTGGAAAAAATAATCTGATTATGTAACTTGTGTTACTTTTAATGCGTGCAAACCTGCAACACTGCTTACTAAAGCAATTATGCATAAATACATGCAACTACCTCTAAATCAAACCCAAAATCCAACCCTAAAGTATGCATATTACACTGTAAGTAAATGTATAATTACACTGTAACAGACACATTAAAGGGGTCCTATTACGCTCTTTTACAAAGTTTTGATTTTGTTTTGGGGGTGTACTAGAACAGGCTCTCATACTAGGTTGTTCGAAAAACACATTATTTTTCACATATTTTACATTATTACAACACCTCTCTCCCCAGTCTGGCATTAACGGCTCAAATAGTTCCTGTATCAAATGAAGGCCTGCCTTCTGAAATACGAAATGTGCTGTGATTGGTTAGCTGGGCCAGTGTGGGCTGTGATCGGTTAGCTGGACCAGTGTGTGCTGTGATCGGTT